GGGGGGGGGGGGGGGGGAGAAAAACGGCAAAACGAGGCGAGACACTTAAAAACCGCGTGCGTAAACATTCCGCGAGCATGACATGAAACACGACGTGCGATGAAACGTGTGTGTGTGTGTGTGTTACCGTACATGTAATTGACCCGGTTCTATGAATATACATGGACTTCGTTGCGTGGAAAGATGCAGTCGCATTCCTCGAATAGGAATGATAAAGAGAGAACTGGATCTCTCATAAGGCTGGGGTGGATGCGGGCGGAGAAGTGACGGAGACAACGAACAAAGATTTCTCGATCGTCGTTTTCAATGCGAAGGAGGGCGGGGAGGACGGCAATGGAGAGGGAACAGAATGCACGACGCCCTCGTTGCGTTCCCTTCCAGGGTCGCGTTCAACTTGGAAATGCTAATGATACGCTCAGCACGCGGCGATTTGTAAAGACAATTAGTTCTTACGGTCGATCAATCATCCAGCGTAATATTAAGTTATAATGCGCTTAGACAGAAAAAGAAATGTTTAGCGTGTACTTAGTAAACTTCGCACGCCGATATATTGAGTTGATGCATAATTATCCGCCGTTTGCTTTTTGCGTATTTATTACTTATGAATATTGATGTTTACATCTTTAATAAAAACCATTCTTCTATATTTACTCGATAGAAGTGCGTGTCGAAAGTCATATGCGCCATATTATGCTCTACCACTTGAAGAAAGGATGGACCGCAGCACAATCAATCCGTGATCTCAACGATCTTTTTGGCGAAGGAACAATCAGTGGAGAGGCAGTAGTTTTCGGGAGTAGTTTTCTCGTTTCAAATTTGGCGACACCAACTCTCTTCTACTCTTGGATCTACAATTGAGATCAATTACCACGATAAAGGACTGAAATAAGAGCCAAGCGCCAGATAGTATCTAGACTAAGAAATTTATATCCTTAGTTTTAGTCAGCTTCTGATCTCGCGATCAATCTTTGGTGGATTTATCCGTTGTGAATCGCGCATGATGAATTCGCGTCGGAGCGATGAACCAACCGGACGCGACCCTGTTATTTTTTTTCTTTTTTTTCACAGCAGCAGAGAGAGAGAACGCTCATTGGTTGCGAATACGGTGACACGTGCGCGTGTAGCGCGTACACGCGTGATCGCTGCGTGATTGCGTCGCATGCTCTCGCGCGAAATACAATGATAAAACGCACGCGGATACTCGACGGACAATAGAAAGTGATCCTCGATACAGATAAAAGAGCGCGGCCGGCGCGCGTGAGATCGTGGAAATAAGAAGAGAGCGGCAACCTGGATTGCTTCCAAAACTCGGGTCCCACCTTGCAGAGAATGTCTGTTGAGAGAAGGGAAAATTATAAGCGGTGGCTTTGACGTCGTTTGACCGAGGGCACGTTTAATTTTTTCCCCTGATAAGCCGAGCCGAGTGTCACGCAAACTCAGACACCGATTCGCGAGAGTCGGAGAGTTCGTGAATTTTAAACGTAGCTCACTTTGGTCTGATGGATCGTTGAATGTTTCTCAGTTTTCTGGTTTTTGCGTACTATTTTTGTTTTTTTGTTTTTTTTTCTTAATACATCAAGTGTCGGCTATAACGAATGAACATTTCTTTTTCTTAGATCGCATTCACGAAACCACTTGAGAATTTCTTCCGAATACAATCCTTTTCTTATGATAATAAGTTTGATAATGTTTAATTATCATTAATAGAATAAAGATTGATCCCATCTGAATCATTATATACGAGTATTTCAATAAATATTCGTTACATAACGTTACTTGATTTGTGCCTGGTTCGTCATGGCCTATGATCGTTTTTTATACACATAAAAGAAATAGTCTTGAGTCAACAATGGATATCCTCATATGTAAAAATATTTTTAAGAAGATTATAATATTCTTGCTTATACGTGACGATATCTATCATTGATCCAAGACTAATTTTTTTTCCGTGTAATAAGTTTAGTTTAACCCCAAATCATTTTTCTCGACCTGATACCATAAACATCTTATTCGGACATTGTATTTCCAATTCCCACGTTACAAGCTTAAGAATGTTAACTCGAATGAAATCGACAAGTCTCACGGACCGGAGTGTGGCGAATTAAAGACTTGAAAATAAATGTAGCCAGCTCAGGTTGATCTAAGGTGAATCTAAAGTGCTTCGCCCATACAATATGTTCGTGCGCGGAAAAAAGGCTGTCGCATCAATAGAATTGGTCAACAGCGTCGTAATTGGGATAAATCATCCTGATTCAAAATAGCAATATCATTGAAACTAACGCATCTTACAGTGTTTTAACAACTCCAGCGATAGCTTTCACAATATTGCTCTTGAATCGAGAAGACTTACTCTAATTACGATGTTGCCGACTCCAATTTTGTCGATGCAAGAGCACCTTTTTTCCTTGCGTACCTCGCTGTTTGCACAAAATGTTGAAAAAGTAGGACTCGCCACATGTGCTAACCGGCGGTATTTCGGTTTCAGGTGTTTCTAACAGTCGGTAGCAACTAAAGGCCGACAGCATGAGGAACTCGACGTTACTGAAATGGGCGCAGAATTCGGCGAACAATAAAAATCAGCCGAGCAAAAACGGAGGTGAGTAACCCCGCGGGGGCTCTCTATGCACGTGCGACCGGTATTAGCAAATATGGCCAGCCGCGCGGCGAAGGTTGAAAACCATCGCGACTCTTGTTCGCAGGAACGAGTAGGAACTGGATACACCCACCGGACGCGCTCCAAAAAGGACACATCGCCTACCTAGTCAAGGTACTGTGTAATATCTGCACTATGAACGCACATTCCCGCGCGAGTTGTCAAATAAGTAACGCGTCGGTATCGTGTTTTCAAATTTTCGCGCGTCTTGATATGTATGTGTGTGTGTGTGCATTCGTTAGCGCGACTTTATAATTATGACATTTGCACAACAGGCTCCTTTTGTGACGATTCACGCGAACTGTCGCTCGAAGGTGAAGAGAGAGGAGGAAAAATTATGCGCAATAATCGCGCCGCGGATCGAAGTCCGAATGAAAGTCTTATTTTCGCGAGAGCCCGAGAGAAAAATCTTTATCGCCGCGACTACATTTTCGACGGATGCAAATAATACCGCGATAACGTGCTGCGCGTATGTTGGGCGAGATCGTGACGCGCGATTGCGCAATCACGTGGATAAACAATAAGAAAGCGACGGACGTCATATCGTCAACATTTTCGCGGGATCTCGAAATCGGACCGGAGAAGAGGTCGCGATGAGTTCGCTGTCGCGACAGCGATGTCTCATCGTGTTCGTTTCTTTCTTCTTCCCGTCGTCGCTTTTATCGTCGCGCATCCGACGCGCGGCGGTCCTGATCGCTGAGCCTGAAAACCGCCACTGAGAGGGATATCCGTTGCGCGTTCGTGGAATTCGTCGACGCACGTACGCTTAATTACCTTTCGCTGCTAACGAACGTAATTAAGCTAAGCCGATTACTTCTCCGGGCGGAACGCGAGGCATCACGCGGATTCCTGCGCACTGCGTGAGAAAAACCGGAGAAATTGCCGGCGACTGTTGAGCCGGGCGAAAGGATAGCAAAAAAGGAAGACTGCCTGTTGTAGGAATAAAACCGTTCGCTCTTGCGATCGTTTCGCAGATTAAAAATAATATCCGTTTCCCGTGAATGTTGCGTATTACCGACATTTTCGGATATCGATACAATTTATCAATTTTATCAACGGATCTGAATGAATTCTCGCCGGTATTTATCCGATATTAAGCGTGAAAGGCGACGAGAAGCACGCGTATCGGCGAAAATTGATCTCGCCGGGAGACAGATTCCCAGATACTTCGGAATTTACGATAATTAGGCCCACGGGGATACGTAAAAACGCGATTTGATTAACAGACCCGTTGAAAATTCATCGGATCGAATTTAATGACGCGAGAATTTCGTGTGTCTAATAGGAACCGTGCGGAAAGTCGCAGACCTACTGCACGCAGCCCCGCGCGAACCTTATAGAATTGCTCAATTTGGACTTAATGATGGGAGGAACGTAATTTCTGGTCGGCGGCACCGTTGTAAAAACAACAAGCGAGCCGGTAGTTTGCGCTTTCTAGCCGGTTGCGAATTTCTCATTATTCGCGGATGACCCGTGCCGAAACGAGGGAAAAAAGAAGAGCATCCGACTCGAACGCCCGGTGCATAGATAGAGAAAGAGAGAAAGAGAGAGTGAGAGAGAGAGAGAGAGAGAGAGAGAGAGAGACTCGAGGCGTTCATTCATTTCATGTCACCCGGAAAAGTTGCGCAACGAGCGAGACCGTGCAACCGGCCGGCCGACCGAACGAACGACCGACCGTCTGCCTTTCGTTTTGAATTGTTCCCCGGCACGTATGCCAGTTTTCCCCTTGTGAATACGAATATCAAGCATTGCGGATGAATTGTTGCTCGTTGTCGTCGGTAGCGCCGAGTAGCCGGTAGCCGCGGGTTCGTTGAACTTCGAAACTTCGCGAACGGCCAGATTTCACTATCTCACGGACAAAGCCATCGTGTGTCGTTGCCGACGACGTCGTGGTTGTTGGTTGTGGCGAAATAGCGGAATTTTATCTGGATCGTCTTTTTCGTCCGATCTGCGCAGCCTGATTCTGCACAGGCAGGGTCTCGGAAATGATATCGCGGGAGTGACATTTTTCTTACGCGAACGACAAATTTGTTTCAATTACAAAAATTTTGTTGAATCCTGCGAAATTTTTTCCCTCCTATTTTACGGCCGCGATCATCGCTGAGAAAACCCGGAATTTTGTCGGCGAAGTTCCGGACCGTGGGGCATCCTGTCTACCGGCGAGCTGTTTCGCGATCGATCTTATTTTATATCGCAGACGGTGCGGAACGCGCAATTAACTCGTTAAGAATCAGTCCCACGTACCATTATGTACCCGCGTCTGGTTACGCGCTTAATTACGATCGGATCGGATCGGATTTGCGTAAGCGAGCGAGATTATGCGGTTTCGTCATCCAGGAAAGCGTATTTTTTATCGGCTGGAAAAGTATCCGGAGGTTGTTAAACCAAGCGCGGCGCGCGCTCCGCGTCATTCGTTATCATATAGCGCGATAATTATCGCGCAGTTTGTCAAGTAATACTACGTGCCATCGCGTATCATCCGCGCGTATCGGATTAAAGTGCAGAAATAGAGTTTGTCACTCTATTGGCGGAATATTACGCCGTAAAATGGCCGTAGAATGTGCGTCGTATTTGCAAACGTCGCTGACGAACGCCGTCGTCGCCGTCGTCGTTGTTATTGCGAAACACCTCGCTTCTTTTCGTTCGCACGTTTTGCGAAATTATTATGATTGCGAGATTATGCTGTCTGGACGCTGACGCTATCGAATTTTTCTCCACGTTTCTCCCGCGCTCTATAAAATCGAGTCCATTAATATTTTCGCCTTGTCGTGCATTCCCCGTGTTTATCGCTTTACGCTTTCGTCGCGATTTCGGCGCGTTCAATTCGGATTTCTCCTTCAGGCGTAATTGTACACAATACGAGTCTTTGTTACACGCTACATCCGAGCGAGCCGTTGGACAACTTCTCTCTCTCTCTCTCTCTCTCTCTCTCTCTCTCTCTCTCTCTCTCTCTCTTTCTTTCTCAAGTGTGTTACCTTGAGCAGAAGAGATGTCGCGCTTTGAGAGCTTCTCACCGCCGTACAGAAGCGTGCCATTTACGTTGATCGATGCAAAGATATGCAAAGCGCGACGAGGAACGCACCGAAAAAAAAAAAGAAATACACACGTCGTTAATAATAAAGAAGTTTATCCGTGTCACGTTCTGCGCGTGCACTCGTGTTCCTGGAAACGAAGTTACGCCGTTTCCCACGCTCTCGCGCGCTCCCGCTCGTGGTTCACCTTCCAGTTGGTGGGCGATAAACTCGCGCATACGGAAGAGAGAAAAAAAAACTCCCCTCGACTCGTCTGAATTCTCTCCCTCTTCAACTTTTGCCCGTTGACTTGACGTTTTAGTATTTGGGCAGCACAGAGGTGGATCAGCCCAAAGGCATCGATGTCGTCAAGGAGGCGATCTGCAAGCTGAAGTTCAATCAGCAGCTCAAGAAGAGCGAGGGCACGAAAACTCCGAAGGTGGAGCTCACTATAAGCATCGATGGCGTGGCGATACAAGAACCAAAAACGAAAACAACGCCCAAGGTGGGTGTCGACGAAGGACTTTCACATCGTTCGTCGACTATTTCAAACAATTCTCACCTTATTCCTTTTCCCTTTCACCAATAATTATTTTTTACATATCGGAAATACACTTTTTGTATTTTTTCTTCTTTTTCTTAATCCGGGAACAGTCACCTTATTTTTCTTTACATAAACGATCACGAACACTTGATGGTGCTATTCTGTTTCTTAAATGTTTTTTGGTTTCTCTCTTTTTTTTTTTTTCAAAAAATAGCGAGTAAATCGATATTTATAATGTCCCTAAATAATAATGAATCATGGGACAATTGATAATGTTATATTTTTTTAATAATAATGACTTTTAATTGAGGTCTAAATGACAATAGAAGATATAATGTGACTATTTCCGGGTTAAATGAATATTTTCTATCAATAAAAGAGATAGATTAGATAATAGTTATAGTAGTGAGTAAAAATAAGCGGATACGATTTAAAATAATGAAAAAACTTGCTCTTGCAGCGGATCATGCATCAGTATCCACTGCACAGAATCTCGTATTGTGCCGACGACAAAGGGGAGAAGAAGTTTTTCAGTTTCATCGCGAAAGAGGAGGACGCGGAGAGGCACACGTGCTTCGTCTTTGTCAGCGACAAATTAGCCGAGGAGATTACGCTCACCATCGGCCAGGCGTTCGATTTGGCGTACAGGCGGTTCCTGGAGACGTCCGGCAAGGACCTGGAGACGCAACGACGCTGCATGGTGTTGCAGCAAAAGATCAAACGACTGGAGCACGAGAACAACGTTTATCGGCAACGGCTGCAGGACATCGCGGCTATCAAAGGCTCGGTTAGTTCGACGATACGAAAACGTGCAAAAATAATAAAAAGAAATAAATCTAAAACTGAGAAATATATTTTATGCGTTTAATTTACAATATAATACTATTTGATCAAACTATCTTACTTTCATTGTTATTTCAGTTGCGATTTATAATTCTCTTTTCCTTGTCACTGATAATCATTCTTCTTTTACGAGTCGTATTTTCTTTTCTTCCTCTTTCTTAAAGGAGCATTTCCAGTTAACATATGCAAATAATACACAAGTAAAAATACATATGCTGTGCCGACCACGCGTCTAGGAAGCATACTAAACGTTTGTACAATGCCATTTACAGGCGGACGTGTCGACGTATCTGTCGCAGCACAATCTGCCGGATATACTTCACGTACCCGGGGCGCCGACGGACTCACCACAAATTAACGGCACGGCTACCAAGCCGTTGTTGAACACGAGCAGCGACAGCAACGGAAACACTTCCAACGGACCTCAGCAACCGCCGCCTGTTCCGCCAAGGAGTTTCGAGAAGAGCTTCGACGACGATTTCATGGGGTACGGTTGTAACGCGATTGTAAAATTGACTACAAGTCATAGTTAAGTCGCGTCTTGATCCGACTGGCCTTTTTCCTTTCGTCGTCGCGCAGGAATGAGCCGACGCCGATGCCGTCGGTCGGCACGAAATTGGAAGGGCTGTTGATGGACGAGTTTGAGGAAGACTTCAATCCTAGGGCTTACGAGACTGCGGCCAACGGCCTTGCCAATCACCAGTCGAACAACAATCCGCTCCTAAACGGTCAGGTGTGCTCGGGAACCAATTTCTTCTCGCAGTCCAACGGCACGACCAGTCCTCCGCCTTTATGTAAGCGTGCTCAACCCTCCTACGGAGAGTGATTATCTTCCTCCGCGTTGTGGCTGACGTTTCTCTATTTCTCTCTCAGTGGCGCCACCACCAAAGACGAAAGACTCGAGACGTCAGAACGGAGTCAAGGAGGATCTGTTCGGTAGCATTCCATTCAATCCCACGCCGGCTTTGAATATCAAGAATGACTTCAAGGATCCGTTCGAGATGGGGGAATTCGGTGCGTCGACCGTGATGTCTAATCCCAGTCAGCAGGAACTGGAAAACGCTATCGGCCTGTTGGATAAGAGGCTGCTGGAGATGAAGGTACGATTTGGTGTACTTAGTCGTGGGAATAATTAATCCGTCTCTATCGTGAGCGGACGTTTGATGAAACGTTTCTGAAATTTCCAGGACGGTTTCAGCAGAGGGTTGTGCATCGGAACCGATGACTTCTCATTGGAAAGCTTGGACCCGCTACGAAACTAATACGCTCGTCGATCAAAGGGCGGAGGGAACATACCAGAACGGTATTCCGCGTTGCGGAGTAACGAGTGACCAACTAACTAACGGATAGAGCAATTAGAAATTATGTCCGTGTAAAACCAAAATTAGTCAATTATTACTATTACTCTACTCGTATATTTATGATGATGTTCGATATTTATATGGTACACATATACGGAATAATCTTATAAGCGTGTAATCCTCCTACGCTCACTGATGATCTACATTTTCTATCCGCTGCTTTAGATTTCGGGGGTCCGCTTCTCGAATAACGCGCCGCGTTATGTCGTTGTTCGCGACGAGTTGGCTTAACGGGATCTCAAGCTGACCATTAGAACGGAATAAAATATTATTCTAATCGAGGCCCACGTAATTTTAGCTGAAAATATTTGTTATATATATATATATATATATATATATATATACGGGAACAGTCCGATAAGTACTTAGCCTACAAAAGAAAAACGAAAATTTTGGAAAAGCGATTTATTTCTCAACATAGTCTCCTTTTAGCTCGATACACTTGACCCAGCGATGCTCTAACTTCTTTAATCCATCTGAAAAAATACGTTTTCTCGAAGTCTGCAAAGTAGGCCTCCGTGGCGGCGATGACCTCCTC